GCAGATTTAGGGACCTTTGTTGTTTTGATGTGAAGAAGACATTTGGGTCTTGTGAGTAAAGCTGGAATGTTTCGCCGATGTATGGATAACCCATTGTTCCCGGAGGAAGAGGGAGTTTCGAGGAGGAGCTACGGCGGAATCCGGTGATAAAACGGAGTAAACAGAGAAACAGAGCCGTTGCAAAGAGAGTGAGAAACAAGCCGGAGAAATCCATTTTATATATTTCAAATCCAATTTGGATATTTTGAAACTCTCTCTAATGGAAGTTTGGTTTGTGTTGTTTGAGATGAAAGATCAAGTGGGAGAGATGAATTGGTTTTATAGGCAGTGGAGGAGAGAGATACTTTAGGAGAGAGAGAGACAAATTTTGGGGAGTTTCCTAAAAGGAACCTTTTTTTTTTTTAAGTTGAGCCAACTAGTTTGAGAGAGAGTGACGAGAGCACGTGTCGAAGAGCATGCAACAAAAAAAAAAAAAGAGCGTGTGAGATTTTGACCAAAATTAGCCATCGTTAATTACTTTGTTTTTTTAGTTAGTATGATTAATTTAATTAGAATTAAGTCAAGGAAAGGGGCAATTTTGGCCCTTAAGTAGAGACAAAGGAGGTGGTTTTTAATTAAAGCTTCTACCCTTTAAGGATTATATAATTACAAGATTAGGATCCGTGATGATATGCAGATACACAAATTAAAAATTATTGATGTAAATATTTAAGTTTTAGTTAGTAATCTACTGAATTACAAACATATTATGAAATATTGTTTAAACATGAGTTTTTAATTATTAAATATCAATTTATATCTTAATTCTCATCTCACAATCCAAAATATTTTTACCAGTTATAAATATATATCAATTATGTGATAAATCACAAAAACAATTCAAATATTATATAGTTAAATATAATAAATCATGTAAATATAATCTTATAAAAACTTATATAATATTTTATAAATGATTATCAAACATCACATATCCATCATTGATAAATGTATACCACTAATGTCATTGGTGTATTTCTCATAGAGATCTATACTCGTCGAACCTTAAACACTTTTAGATTTTAATAGCAAATA